TTTTTCATTATAGAACTTGGCTTGTATATTCCAATGATGGGCTTCCTCAAAATGCCCTAGGTCTTCGTGAGCAAGCAAGTTGGATGCACAACCACTTAGTTTCTTTTGTTGAGCTTTCATATACTTATAGCTCTAGTGCATCCGTTGCATGGCAATCCCTACTCACTCATATTGATATCTATTGATGGGCATCTCCATAGCCCGTTGATACGCCTAGTTGATGTGAGACTATCTTCTCCCTTTTTTGTCTTCCCCACAACCACCATTCTATTCCACCATAGTGCTATATCCATGGCTCACGCGCTCATATATTGCATGAAGATTGAAAAGGTTTGAGAACACAAAAAGTATGAAACAATTGCTTGGCTTGTCATCGAGGTTGTGCATGATTTAAATATTTTGTGTGGTGAAGATAAATCATAGCCAGACTATATGATTTTGTAGGGATAACTTTCTTTGACCATGTTATTTTGAGAAGACACGATTGCTTTGTTAGTATGCTTGAAGTATTATTATTTTTATGTCAATATTAAACTTTTGTCTTGAATCTTATGGGGAATATTCTTGCCACAATAAAGAAAATTACATGGATAAATATGTTAGGTAGCATTCCACATCAAAAATTCTGTTTTTATCATTTACCTACTCGAGGACGAGCAGGAATTAAGCTTGAGGATGCTGATACGTCTCTAACGTATCTATAATTTTTGATTGTTCCATGCTATTATATTATCAATTTTGGATGTTTAATATGCATTAATATGCTATTTTATATGTTTTTGGGACTAACCTATTAACCTAGAGCCCAGTGCCAGTTTCTGTTTTTTCCTTGTTTTAGAGTATCGCAGAAAAGGAAAATCAAACGGAGTCCAATTGACCTGAAACTTCACGGAACTTATTTTTGGACCAGAAAAAGCCCACGGAGTATCGGAGATGGACTAGAAGAGTCCCGGGCTGCCCACGAGGGTGGGGGCGCGCCCACCCCCCCTGGGCGTGCCCCTGCCTCGTCGACAGCTTGGATCTATCGATGTACTTCTTCCTCCTATATATATCCATGTACCCTAAAAACTTCGAAAAAAACAATAGATCGGGAGTTCCGCCGCCAGAAGCCTCCGTAGCCATCGAAAACCAATCTAGACCCGTTCTGGCACCCTGCCGGAGGGGGAATCCCTCTCCGGTGTCCATCTTCATCATCCGGTGCTCTCCATGACGAGGAGGGAGTAGTTCTCCCTCGGGGCTGAGGGTATGTACCAGTAGCTATGTGTTTGATCTCTCTCTCTCTCTCTCGTGTTCTTGAGGTGATACGATCTTGATGTATCACGAGTTTTGCTATTATAGTTGGATGTTATGATGTTTCTCCCCCTATACTCTCTTGCAATGAATTGAGTTTCCCCTTTGAAGTTGTCTTATCGGATTGAGTCTTTAAGGATTTGAGAACACTTGATGTATGTCTTGCACGTGCTTATCTGTGGACAATGGGATATCATGTGATCCACTTGATGTATGTTTTGGTGATCAATTTGCGAGTCCGTGACCACGTGAACTTATGCATAGGGGTTGGCACATGTTTTCTTCTTGACTCTCAGGTAGAAACTTTGGGGCACTCTTTGAAGTTCTTTGTGTTGGTTGAATAGATGAATCTAAGATTGTGTGATGCATATCGTATAATCATACCCACAGATACTTGAGGTGACATTGGAGTATCTAGGTGACATTAGGGTTTTGGTTGATTTGTGTCTTAAGGTGTTATTCTAGTACGAACTCTATGATAGATTGAACAGAAAGAATAGCTTCATGTTATTTTACTACAGACTCTTGAATAGATCGATCAGAAAGGATAACTTTGAGGTGGTTCCGTACCCTACAATAATCTCTTCGTTTGTTCTCCTCTATTAGTGACTTTGGAGTGACTCTTTGTTGCACGTTAAGGGATAGTTATATGATGCAATTATGTTATTATTGTTGAGAGAACTTGCACTAGTGAAAGTATGAACCCTAGGCCTTGTTTCAACACATTGCAATACCGTTTATGCTCACTTTTACCACTCTTTACCTTGCCGTTTTTATATTTTCAGATTACAAAAACCATTATCTACTATCCATATTGCCATTGTATCACCATCTCTTCGCCGAACTAGTGCACCTATACAATTTACCATTGTATTGGGTGTATTGGGGGCACAAGAGACTCTTTGTTATTTGGTTGCAGGGTTGTTTGAGAGAGACCATCTTCATCCTACGCCTCCCACGGATTGATAAACCTTAGGTCATCCACTTGAGGGAAATTTGCTACTGTCCTATAAACCTCTGCACTTGGAGGCCCAACAACGTCTACAAGAAGAAGGTTGTGTAGTAGATATCATCATGCTATACTATCGGGCCGCGATCACTCGGGAGGTGATTACGAATATATACTATATACTTTATACATGATACATGTGGTGACTAAAGTCGAGTCGGCTCGTAGAGTACCCGCGAGTGATTCACGGATCGGGGGCTGAAAGGACATTTGTCCCGACGGCCCTCTGAGTGGATCTTTGTGGCGGAGCGACAGGGCAGGTTGAGACCGCATAGGAGAGAGGTGGCCCTGGCCCTGGTCGGCGTTCGCGGTTACTTTTAAATAACATGCTTAACGAGATCTTGGTATTTGATCTGAGTCTGGCCACTGGCCTATACGCACTAACCAACTACGCGGGAACAGTTATGGGCACTCGACATCATGGTATCAGCCGAAGCCTTCTTGACGTCAGCTATTGGGCGACGCGCATCGGGTTGGACTGGAATGCCTGCTCTTGTATAAGGGAGGCTAGGTCTGCTCGCCGACCGCGTTTGCAACATGCAGGTGTGCAATGGGCGATGGGCCCAGACCCCCTGCGCCATAGGATTTAGACCGGCGTGCTGACCTCTTTGTTGTGTCTAGGTGGGGCTGCGACGTGTTGATCTTTCGAGGCCGGGCATGACCCAGGGAAGTGTGTCCGGATAAAGGGGATCGAGCGTGTTGGGAAATGTGGTGCACCCCTAGAGGGAAGTTTATCTATTCGAATAGCCGTGTCCCTCGGTAAAAGGATGACCCAGAGTTGTACCTTGACCTTATGACAACTAGAACCGTATACTTAATAAAACACACCCTTCCAAGTGCCAGATACAACCCGGTGATCGCTCTCTCACAGGGCGACGAGGGGAGGATCGCCGTGTAGGATTATGCTACGCGATGATACTTGGTGAACTTATCATCTCCTCTCTTCTACATGCTGCAAGATGGAGGTTGCCAGAAGCGTAGTCTTCGATAGGACTAGCTATCCCCCTCTTATTCCGGCATTCTGCAGTTCAGTCCACATATGCTACCCTTTATCATTTGATACCAATACATACATATTTAGTGTAGCTCCTTGCTTGCGAGTACTTTGGATCAGCACTCACGGTTGCTTTGCTCCCCCTTTTTTCCTTTCTATACCCGATTGTTGCGACAAGACGATGGAGTTCAGGAGCCAGACGCCACCGTCGACGACGACTCCTACTACTCTGGAGGTGCCTACTACTACGTGCAGTTCACTGACGACGACCAGGAGTAGTTTAGGAGGATCCCAAGCAGGAGGACTACGCCTTTTTCGATATGTATCCCAGTTTGTGCTAGCCTTCTTAAGGCAAACTTGTTCAACTTATGTCTGTACTCAGATATTGTTGCTTCCGCTGACTCGTCTATGATCGAGTTCTTGTATTCGAGCCCTCGAGGCCCCTGGCTTGTAATATGATGCTTGTATGACTTTTTTTATTTGTAGAGTTGTGTTGTGATATCTTCCCGTGAGTCCCCGATCTTAATCATACACGTTTGCGTGTATGATTAGTGTACGATTGAATCGGGGGCGTCACAGAAGTAGAGGTTACTTCCTCGCATCTAGTCTCGTGTCTAGCCTCTAATCTAGCAATAAGTGCACTTGTCTCATCTACATTCTCTATGCTAGCTAAAAGTGCACAAACATCTACTAAATTACGCTCTATCAATATATCGATGGACTCTTCTTCCCAATACCAAAACTTGCATCCATTCTACACAACAAAATTTGAAGTTAGCACAACTAGTCAAATCTAGAGCACAAACCGAAACTAAAAAAATTGCATACCCCATCGTTTAAGCACTTGATGAACACCCATCCAGGATGTTCCGGCGTTGTAGACACGCGGCGCAGGACCTTTTTTACACACTGGTCGCACTTAATGAACGGCAACGATGTGCCGACGAGCTTTTGGGCTAGCACCGAGCCCGGCCGACCGCCATTCGTGTATCTGCCGCCGGACCACCGACGGTGTAGATCCGAGCGGCTAGAGGAGGAGCCACTGCCTGCATGTGGCCTTGCGGCCCTGCCATGGCCTTCCGGCCCGGTGTCCCGCCAGTCCATGACGTGGCGCGGCCTCCCACAGCCGGGCGAGCTCAAGAGCGACCAGATCCGGTCCAAATCCGACCGGCGGGTGCGCAAAACAGGTGGCCGTGGTTGGGTAGCTAGGGGGGCGCCGAGGGGGAGGGGCGGGGCGAGCACACGTCCGAGCTGCACAGTTACAATGGCAGCGGCGGCGACGACGATGACAACGGAAGTGCGGCCGGAGGGAGGGAGGAGGGCGGATAGAAAAAGACGCCCCTATGCCACTGACGGTCGGGTCAGGGGAGGACACGCGCAGACGGCCCGCGCGCTGTCTGTTTCACCCAAAAAGACGTAAACTTGGGCCGGGGATAGGTCGAAAACAGACACAAAACGGACAAAAATCCGATTACGCCCGCGCGCTGGGCCGTCTGGTTCGCGGTAGAGTTGGCCTAAACATCATCACTCGACACATCGACCCTTGACTCGACTAGACGCAACAACAGCACCGACTTGACCAAAGTAACTTCCTCCTCGGCATGAGCGGCTCATCAGCCATTGCCCTTCCAATCCGCCCAACCTCGCATCTCCCTTCCCCCGAGGAGTGGCAGAGCTCGCCTCCCTCGCGTCGTCGTCCTCATCGGCATGAGCGGTTTCCTCGTACGCACTAGATGCACCAGCTTCATTCACTTCTCCAAATCTTCAACAGAAAGTTCCTGTTGATTTGTTTGTTGTTCGTCGGAGCCATTTAAGCTTCGATTTTTTGTTTTTGTTTCGATTCGTTGATCTTGACTGTTGCCGTTACGATTTGCTTGGAGTTTCAGGCTGTGGCCGGCAAGATTGTCACGCTCCTGCTGTGGGTGCTCTTTCTGATCCTGCAGACAGCCACCAAGGTTGTCGGGGGCCTCCTGCAGGTTGCACCGCCAGCCGAGCCACAAGAAGAGCCGCAACCAGAAGCAGCACCACGACCCAGATCGCCGCCGGCTGCGAGGAACAGCGCCGGCGGCGGCCCCGCGGACCCATACGATCCGCGGTCACAGCCGTGGGACCCACCACCGCCCCCCCACACCGCTCCGGTGACGGATGAGTATCACTCGTCCTCGATCTACCGGCGGCGGGTGAGCGCCCCGCAGGCTGCTGAGGATTTGGTGGTTTCCTCCAGCAGTTACTCTCGTTCGGCCGTGGCAGCAGTGCCAGCCTCTCCGGCTCATGCCGTCCCAGCGCCACCAGTGTCGCGGACAATTAAGACACCGGCAGTTGCCAGTAAGCGGCCCAAGCTGGAGAGGAAGTACTCCAAGATCGTGGACCAGTACCGCTCCTTGGATGAGGTATGTATCAATGTGTGTATTGGATTTGGTGATGTTCAAATGTTCAACACTGCTTCCAAAATCGGGCTCGAAGCCATATCGGGGATGGAATTAGACATTGTAGATGGCTTGGACATTAGCGGTATCTGGTTTAATGTAGTGCTGTGGAGCTTGCATGGTGCTTACATGTAAAAGGTGCGAAACTGATAGTGCAAAATTTCACCCGGAATGATAACAAGGTGGGGAACAATTTGCACGAGCCGCACAACAAACTGATGCATCTGCTCTTTTGAAATTGAAAATTGCGAACCGAGCCCGCCGAATAAACACTGTTTATAGACTAAGGCCAAACAAGAGTCTAGAGGGAGTACTTAACAAATTGTAAGGAAATGTACTCCCTCTTTAAAGAAGTATATTTCTTTACGGAGGGAGTACTTAACAAATTGTGACACTTGGCTCAATACTGAGTTCTGTATGCAGGTTATTGAAGCATTAGCGCAAGCTGGCCTCGAATCTTCCAATTTAATCATTGGAATTGATTTCACGAAAAGTAATGAATGGACAGGTAGTTGAATAGAATATATGCGTTGGACAAAACATTCATTCTTGATGCTTGACTATGTCTGCAATTCGGCATGCAGGAAAGAGGTCATTCAGTGGTGTGAGCCTGCATCATATTGGTGATGCCCCCAATCCTTACGAGCAGGCAATCTCCATCATTGGACAAACACTGTCAGCTTTTGATGAGGATAACTTAATTCCGTGCTATGGTTTTGGAGATGGTAAAGCTCAAACTTTTCTTTTGTTAATTTACCAATATAGAGTGAAATTGCACAAGACTAATAGTTCAGTTTTATTTGGAAAATGCAGCATCTACACATGACCAAGATGTATTTGCCTTCAATCCTGACGAAAGACCATGCTATGGGTTTCAGGAGGCTTTGGCTCGATATAGACAAATCGTTCCTCATCTTCGTCTTTCCGGTAGTAAAGCTCAATTTTGATTGTTGTTTTTTGAAGTGTACAATCATGGTCAATGTATGCATACAATTTGTTATATGTTTGAAGGTCCTACATCATTTTCTCCAATAATTGAAATGGCCACAACCATTGTTGAGCAAAGCGGTGGCCAATACCATGTTTTAGTAATAATCGCCGATGGACAAGTAGGCTTTTTTCTATCACCCTTCTTATTTTTATTTTAGTTCAATTATTATATCATTGACTTTCCTGTGCACGATGATGTTTTTCCTATGTTGGTATTATTTGGCCTGTGTCTGAAATATCACTATACAGGTCACACGAAGTGTTAACACTAAATTTGGTCAATTAAGTACCCAAGAGCAGATGACTGTAGATGCTATTGTGCAAGCCAGGTAATGTGGGGTTATTTTAGGCGGAGTATGTAAAATGGTGTACCATAAAAGTTTCTTAGTTGCAATAAATATCACGATCAATATGCTGTTGTGTTGTATGTTTAATCTTAACATGATTCCTGTTAACACCAGATGTGTATAGTTAAGGGTGTGTCTCATTATTCTACTACCCCAATTTTCTATTGCTTATCTGATGGCATAATGCGTATATGTACTTAGAAAGTTCTGTTTTGGTATGTCAAAATACACCTATTTGTTTGTATTTCTTGTTCCTGCAGTATTCATGTCCAGCTTGCAACAAATTATTTACATTTGATTAGTAACTCCAGAGTAAGCATAAGACGTTGAAAAGCTCTTGCTACTTGTCTTGATTTTCAAACAGCTGCGGTAATTGCTATCAGCATTTAATTGTTTTTATGTCATCAATAGCCTTCGGGAAACACAAAGTCCCAACAAAGTACATTACCCTCATCAGGCTGCCCGTAATGGTGAGTATCATATACTAGTATCATGCATATGATACCACATCCTCTCTTTCCTCATTTAATTGTGTGCCACATAATAAAAAAAGTCTAGTTGGCATGCATGATATATTGTTTATGATACTACCATTTCGACCAGCCTCAAGGACATATATGATAATGTTGTGAAAAGTGTTCGAACAAGTGATGGTGACACTGATGACTTTCCAGTTAAAATAGCACTCCACCAAGGTCAACTTTGAGGCCTTATCTTTTTGCTTTGGTGATGGATCACAAGGAGATATTCCATGGTGTATGCTCTTTGCGGATGATGTCGTGCTAGGCAACTGGTAGGAGCTAGGGTTCTACCGGGTCTAGGCCGGAGGTTGTAGGGTAAGGAGGGAGTTGGACGTGGACGAACATGCGGCCGCCGGCGGCTGGGCGCCGTCGTGCGTGAGGGAGGAGGCGGCGGCGTTGGCAGGAGGCGGCTAGGGTTAGGTCTCCCGGCTCCCTAAGGAAGCCGAGCAAATATGATTGCTTCTTGCTTAATCCCAAAACAGGTCCTTACACGAGTTTATATAATCCTCCTAATAAGATAATTGGGCTAAGCCCCTAATAGCGATAAGATAAACTTGGGCCACAACTAACTGAGCTAAGCCCCTAATATGCCGGTCATAACATTTCTCCCCGCCTGCACAAACAGCTCGTTCTCGAGCTGGAAGGCGGGGAAGCGCATGCGGAACTCCTCGAGGTGATCAACCAACGTCAAACACCTCTGCGTAAGCTGGGGTGGGCAGGTCATCGAGCCCGGCGGCGGCGGCGTCCTCCTCAATGTAGTCCACAGCCTCCAGGTAGAAGAGTCGCGGGCAGACGTGGCCGGGCATGCAGGGCTCGTCGCAGTTGAAGCACAACCCTTGGCGGCGACGCTCGAGTAGCTCGGCCGAGGTGAGCCGACGGAACGGGCGCGCCGCGGACGCGGCGAGGGGTGCCGCGGAAGCCTGAGCAGGCCGATCCTGCGCGGGAATGTCCGGCCAGGGTGGTGGCCCAGCGGCCCGGGATGGTGATGCCTGCTGGATGGCCATCGCGCGGCGCTTGAACGCGCGGGCGTAGTACATGGCCGTCTGGAGGTCCTGGGATCCCCCAGCTCCACGTTCACGCGTATATGATCCGACAGACCGCTGACGAAGAGCTCGGCTCGGCGAAGTCCTGCACCGTAGAGGTGAAGGGAAGGCGGCCCAACTCCGTCAGCCGGCTCCCGCGTATCGGCGGCCCGAAGCGAAGGAGGCATAGCTCACGAAAGCGCTCCCATGGGGGCATGCCGCCCTCGTCCTGCTCGAGGGCGTAATACCACGTCTGTGTGGCGCCTCGGAGGTGATAGGAGGCGAGCCAGGTGCGGTCCGACGCAAGCGTGCGTTGCCCTTGGAAGAACTGCTCACACTGATTAAGCCAGTTGAGGGGGTCCTTGGTGCCGTCGTAGGTGGCGAAGTCGAGCTTGGCGAAGCGTGGTGGTGTCTGAGTATGATCGCCGTGGCCATACGCTCGGCGGTGCGGAGCAGCGAGGGGGACGGCGCCGGGTCGGTGGACACAGGGGGTCCCTCGTGGAAGGGCGGCCCGTCGAGGCCAGCGTAGGGGCCCGCCGTACTGCAGGGTGGGCGCCGGCTATTCCGAGGCAATCGTGTAGACCGAATGCGGCAACGGCCCGGTCAACCAGGCCGGAAGCGGTGACGGCGAGGGTGGGAACCGGACCTCGTGGATCGGGACTCCCGCCGGCGCGGTCGGAGCCGGGCCGGAGCTGACCGGAGGTGGCGACGGCAGCTGCTGCAGCGGGGCGATGGGCAGTTGCAGGCCTGCAGCGGCTGTTGCAGCAAGGCGACGGTCGCGGTGGAGGCGCCAGGGGCGGCAGTTGCCAGGGGCGGCCGAGTGGTTATGAGGTGACCAACCGATGGCGACGCGCGGGGCGGCCGAGTGTTTATGAGGTGACCAACCGATGGCGACGCGCGGGGCGGCCGAGTGGTTATGAGGTGACCAACCGATGGCGACGCGCGGGGCGACCGGGTGGTTATGAGGTGACCAACGAATGACGACGCGCGGGGCGGCCGTGTGAAATAGACCGTCTCGCGGAATGACGATGCGCGAGGCGTACGGGTGATGTAGATGCCTCCCGCGGAGTGACGACGCTCGGGGCGTCCGCGTGAAGCAGACTCGTCCCACGGAGTGGCGAGGCGCGGATGACCGAGTGATGATGGCGTGTCGAGCAGTTGATTGCGGTGCTTCACTGTTTGGGAACCGAATCGTTCATCGGAACAAAGAAGATGTGGGTCGGCTGCCGCAACTGCCGCTGTTGTTGTCGATGATGTTCTGGATGTTAGCCGACCAAGTAGTGTCAGGCAAACCGTTCGAGTGAACCCAGGAGCTTCACCACTGAGTGAGCGCAGTCCGAGTGGACTCCTCATCCGAGTGCGCCTGATGGTCCGAGAGAAGCACAACTGTGCTGCGGTCCAGTCGGTGTGGTGCTGGCTGGGCAGGCTGAGGTGGACTGCTGGGCTCGAAGGCCTCAGTGAGATTCAACATAGATGTGCCCACGAGCGCTATTCCATCTGATGGAGGAGGGCGGCTCGATCGCTTGCAGGCAGACAGGATCCGAAGGGCGTGGGAGGAGTTGTCCACGTCTAGCGCCTAATTAATCTGCATGCAAATGGTTTAACGCTAATTAAGTGAGAGTTAAAGCCATTGATGTATGTAATGGATGTTTCCCACGGTCATTTATCTCCTGCATGCAGGACATAAAGGGGAAGGAATTAAGATTAGAAGGAAAGTGGAAGGCGGGCGTAGAGCTCCCTGATCAGCCATGGCGGCGGCAGCTTTTTGCGCGGATCCATCGCGAGGTGAGGCGACCGCGATGAATCCGGGTGCGAAACGGCGTTCTCCTGCGAGGCTACGTGTGGGGCGGCCGAGAGGTGAGGACGAGTTCACTCGAGCGACGACTTGCGGCGGTCGAGTGAAGTTGACGACGACGTGTTGTGTAGTCGATCGCGGCGCTTCACCATCGAGGAGCCGAATCGTTGATCGAAACAAAGGGGAGGTGGGCCTATCGCCGCAACTGCCGTCGTTGTTGTGATTGCTCCGCCAATGACACTCCTGTCAAATTAGCAATAAATCTCTAGTAATTAGGTGTATCGGTTTGGCTAACTGACGCATTGAAGGAGACGGCCACGCGTGACGCATTTGAAGGAGTTGTTCACGTCCAACGCATTGATGGACTTGCCTCACGTTTAGAATCTGCATGCAAGAGGTATTAGTATTAGTGGTGATTAAGCAAGAACTAAATACGATTCTGCATACGATGGGATTTGAGATGAGGAGAGTTGTAGAGGCAACCCGAAGGAAAGCTCTGTTGCGGCGGAAAGGCCGGTCTGGCCGGAACCAGACCGCGGCCGAGAGGTGGCGATGAGGAGGATGAGCTGCTGGCCGCAATCCAGTCGCGGGCACGCTGCTGGCTGTGTTCCACTACTCAAGGAGCCGGAGCTGTGCACAGGTCAGAATCGTGCTTCGACGCGGGAGGAGCTGGGTCGAGTGCCGTCAGCCGGGCCTAGTCGCCTGAGGAGTCAGGTCAATCAGACCATCGGTAGATGCGTTCAACTGGCCGGGGAACCCCGCTGAGCGTTAGCGGCTGTGCGTGTGTACGCGCTTGGCGATGGCGTCGCTGATGAGTACGCGAGATGATGACGGGCGGACGACGACACTTCATCGTCCGGGAGCCGAACCACCGATCGGAACAAAGGAAGGCGTCCTTTTGTATGAGCTCATGTGCGTACAGAAAAAGAACCAACCATAGTTAGATCATTGCAATGTTTGATTGTAAAGAGGACAAGTTGAGATGAGCAACTCCCTGATCCTTTTGTATGATAAGGAGTATTTTGTGTGATGGCCGGGACCCCAATAGTCAAAATTGGTAGCGATGATTGTTTGATCTAGGGAGATCATCCCAGAAAGCTCGGGTCGCCCGCAGAAATTAGTTTGTTGCCGGCGATTGAAGAAAAAACCATCTGCATCATGGCTCGATAGACGCCATGCCCCACGGTGGGCGCCAACTGTCGTGGTAACGATTCCGACGATAAGAGAGGGGTATGATAAAGGAGCATGATCTATCGAGATGCATATGGGTGACACGGCGGTTTTAGCGAGTTCGGGCCTCTCATGATGGAGATAACAACCCTACGTCTCGTGCTCCGGAGAGGCTTTGTTTAATCTTAGTATGTATCCGGAGATTACAATGAGAGAGGAAAGGATCCCCGTAGTCCTGAGACTAATGGTGAAAAAGAGAGAGAGATGGAAGAAAAAAGCCCCCTCGTCTAGTGGTGGGGGGTGGCTTATATAGAGTGCGCCACCCCCTCACCTCCTATGTTACAAAGTGGGTCATGAATGCCATAATACCAACCCACTACCAAGACCTCACTATGAGAATGATGCCGACTGCTTTGCTGTCTGCTGGTCTTCGTATATCCGAGTGAGTCGTATGGTCGAGTGGTGAACTGTCAT